TCTCTCAGAGCGGTCTCGAGGCACGGATAGGTTGTTTGGAACGAGCGCGCGCGGCGGCACACTCAAGTCGAAGCGACGTTGAATCACGGCCCCGCGCGCCACTTCGTCGGTATACAAGGCGTCGAAGTAGTCGCCCGTCCGGAGATGCGCCGCGTCGTAGGCCGCGCCGAGCTTGTCCACGATCATCTTCGCCCGGGTGATCAGGCGGCTGTTGACGGTCAGCACGTTGGGGTTGAGCTCTCGGTCGTCCTTCATCTTCGAGAGGACCCACCGCTTCGGAGAACTCAGGCTCATGTGGTACATGGTCTTGTCAACGGGGACCTCGACGACCACGTTTTTCGGCGGATCGAGCAGGAAGTCTTCGCAGGTGGCCACGTCGCCGCATCGCGCCGCGTCGTCGCGGATCCGCGTGGGCCACCGCTTCCGGTGGTCCTCGAAGTAGCGCTGCGACACCCACGGCACGCGCAGCGAGTCGCAGGTGAAGACGCGGCAGGTCTTCGTCGGGAAGGGGTCGCCGGCGTCGTGGGGTGGGATCGTGTCCGGGACGACGAGGGTCCGGTTCAGCAGGATGGCCATGAGGCGCGCGTTCTCCAGCGCGATGCGCTGGTTGTTAAGGCCCTCGGTCTCGTTGTAGGTGAGGTACCGGTTGTTTCCGGGCCCGCGGCGCTCGTTGTGGCTGGTGTGGCTGCCGTGGATGACGTGCCACTTCGCGTGCGCGCACGCTGCGAGGGCGATTAAGAGCGGATGCCACCCCATAAAAAAAAACTACAGGAGCTGGTGGGGCACGGCCGGAAGTTAAATAAAAATATCTTGAAGCAATTAATTTGTTTGAGGAGTTAAATGACGATTTCGTAGCAAATCGTGAAAGATTTACCAAAACTCTCTCTCTCCAGCCAGCAAATCGAGCGGATTTGCCGCCCGGGCACGAAAGACAAATTGTCTTACGCGCGTTGGTCGCCCGCGCACCACGCCCGTGTCAGCCCGGAGGCTCGTAGGGGCGCATCTGCTGACCCCAGACGACATCGCTTGCCCGAAGGGCCTCCTGGGACCAGCCGAGAGTGGGATGACGCCTCGTGAGGCCCGCCGCGCCGGCGTCGACTCGACCCCTCGGCTTGCCCCGGCGTAAGCATACGTGTCTGGAGTCTGAGACGGACCCCCCGGCCGGCGCAAAATTATATCAAGACGGACTCCGCTCGGCTGGGACCGCCCCCCGTAAGAATATCAAGACGACCTCACCAGCGCAAAATTATATCACCGGCAGCCAATTTGCTCAGGCTGCGAGGGCTCGCCATTCGGGTCCCAGACACTTTGGCGACACGCTTTTACAGGAACCGGCCAACCAAATTTGATTCTAACCAATTTTGATCCACCTGTGGCTAGGATCGCACTAGACTCGGCCGGTTGGATCAAATTTGGTTGGACGGTTCCTGAATAGCGCAGGCGGTTGTTCTCGTAGTTTGTATTGCCGGTGCAAGCATAGAGACATGTTTTTTGTCAAGCGTAGCACTCTCTGCGTGTTCCTCGCGGTGTCTTACATCCTACTTACAGAAGCGCTGCACACAAGTTATGTGTTTATTGCGAAAGACGGTATTCCATTGGCATCGATATGGGAATCATATTTTTCTGAATGCGCGCCGGGCAGTTACTCAGTAACCGTTTACTCAGGAATGCATAGAACACAATTTGGCAGCAGTTTTTTTGACGGCACTTCCATTCCTGGCCCAGTCGAAAACCCTGCACGCACACAATGGTCGCTGTACACCGCCATGGTAGTTTTGATGCAACACGCGCTGTTAAAAAATAACGATACCGACTTTGTGCAGTTTTTGTCCGACAGCTGTATTCCAACCCAACCATGCAGCAATTTCCATAATTTCTTGACTTCTAAAAACGCACGTCACGTCAGCTACGTTCAGTCTTTTCTTGCAAAATCTAACGATTTACGAACTCCGTATGCGTTTGAAAAACAGCCTTTTTTACGAGGGTCACAATGGGTTACCCTTTCTGCTTTGCACGCACGGTACCTTGCGGTGCAAAACCAGACATCATTGGAATCAAAGTACAACGAATGTCCTCGCCGTAAGAAATCTACTCTTGGATGTACACCTGATGAAACTGTTGTCCAAAATGAGCTTATTGGAGAGTTCGGCAGTGAACACATTACAAGTGCAAGCCTGACGTACTCTGATTTTTCTAATCACAATAGAACGGGACACCCGAGGGCATTCACCGAAACAAATGATGCTATAGCAGGTATAAATTTGGCACAAAACCATCACAAATTTTTCGCTCGGAAGTTTACAGAATTATCGAAGACAACATTATGGTCTTTAAAAAGAGAAATATCGGTCTTTAAAAAGCCGTCATTATTTGGGTTCACTGTGCTGCGCGCTGATAATGTGTCATTCTGCTCTTTTCCAAAAGGCGGTTCCTCAATGATACGAACTGTCGTGGCGCGTCAAGCTGGTGTATTAGGCATTCCTTTGCCAAGCACCAATCAAGCCCGTCCTGAAGTGGCTGACACACCCTGTAATTATGGGTGGGGCACTGAGAGAGACTTGCAGTTACAGTTGAGTGGTGTCACACGTCAATATGATGCGTCAGTCCACAATGTTTTGACCATACGCGATCCGTGGAAACGCGCAGTAAGTGCATGGGCTGATCAGATGCATCGAGGGCACTTTCGTAAAGAAAATTACACTGTTACGAGTGTTAACTCATTTTTGCATTACCTACACAACATAAACCGCAGTCGTTTCCGATTTCACACGGATACGGCCACCAAGCATACATGTGTGTCTCAGCCGGGCGCTCGCTGGGACAGCATCATTGACATAGATTCTCAAACGAGTTTTGAGACCACGGCAAGAAAATCGCCAACTCTGACAAAAATGCTCAATGAAGGATGGGGAAAATGCACTGGTGGTTCCCCAGAGATATATTCACGCGGAACTATTGCGCCGCATAAGACCAGTTCTACGCTGAAAGATACACTTTGTACGCATCATACGCTTGCCGCCGTGTGCCAAGGCTTTAAAGATGATTACAACTTGTACGCGCGACTAGGCCACAACTACGCGTGTGCTTGTGGAGATATACAACTATGAAACAACGTATATATAGCTCCAGTGGTCAGGTTATCACATTAGTTTTATTTTTCTCATTTTGTCATCGATTATAAAGTAGCGGTTTAGCGCCTGTGCCATCAAGCTTAGGTGAATATCCTGCCCACCACCTTTCAAGTGCTTCGGGTGTAATTTCTTCCCATGAATCGGCAAGGACTATTGGAAATCCGTACGCTCGCAGATCCTCAAGCATGAATAGCGTTTTGTGATCGGCAGCGTTAGCATTGCCCCGCTTTCAGAAACTTGGGCGACTGTATTGAATTGCCCCGTTGGCACGATGAGAAATTGCCGAAAAATTTGGTGCGCGGCGACCGGCGCTTCAGCTTGCTGCTCCTCGACGAGGCCTCTGTGGTGGCTCACGGCCTCGTGACGCTCACGTAGGGGGTGTTCGATGGCCAGGCGGCACACGGTGCAGTGGTAATGATTAGCGGGAAATGCGGCCGTCGCTCGTCCGCTCTACTTAGGAGCCGTCCATGCCCGTCCGACCATTCAATCACTAGTCCAACAATAATTATTGAAGGATTTTATGCCAGTGGTGACTGTGCTCAGGAAGTGGTGCTGTCAAGCTTGCTCTGCAACAAAAATCTGGAGCAGCACCTTCGCCCTGACCTTGGCCCACTGAAGGTTTGAGAGAGTGGGAGCCCCTATGGAGAGCGTCATGGGAGACGCGCCGCACCGGCAAGGGCGCCCCTTCAAGGTCGCCCAGCACGAGATCATCGTCGACGACGTGCGCTACGTGTACACGTGCAACAAGCCCGTGTCGAGGAACCAGTGGCAGGTCAAATTCCGCGGTGGCAAATGGCTTGACTGCTACATCAAGAATGGCCAGACCGACGGATGTCAGCTGCATAAGCCCGAGCAGGAGCAGAAGAGCGCTATGCTACTTCTGCCTCTGCTGGCTGTACCCTCCCTCAGTTCGCTGTCTGTGATAACCCTATAACCCGAGATGCACCCTAGCCGATGTCTGTGAGACTTGAAACTGGACTAGAGTGTATCAAGGGAAGGAAGGTGGATACTAGCAGGAGAAGCAGTAGGAGCCTAGTGGGTAAGGTGCACTACAGTTCACTGAGATGAGGCTATCTCTCTATCGATGTCGCTGAGCTCTTCGCCACCACGCTGTCCATCAAGAGCGGCGGATTCGCAAAGTTCAGGTGTTCCGCGAAGGCGCCGCGGCCGCTCGTGTGCCAGGGCAGGCCGATGGTCGCTAGCGCCTCGCGCCTCTTGAGGCACTAGATGACGTGCCGCGCGCCGGGGACCCAGGGCCACAGTGCGGAGAGCGCGCTGATCAAATTCTTCGCGTAGCGCCACATCAGCGGCTCGACGCCGCCGCGGGCGCCGCGGCGCAGCAGCAGGCCCTCGAACTTGTGCATGAGCCAGAGCACGGGGCAGGTCAGGCCTGCGCGGAAGGCCCGGGCCTCCTGCAGCGCGACGATCTGCAGGTCGCTCGGCGCCTCGCGCTCGAGTTTGGCGGTTTCAAACTTGACGCGGTCCCGGCAGCGGTCGACGCGCCCGAAGTTCCAGGCGCCGGAGAAGGGGATTAACCACAGGTTGTAGCTGATGACGTTGATGCGGCGCGGGAGCGGCGACGCCATGATGGCTTTCTGACGCTCTCTCTCAGAGAGTCTAGCGCCGCGGGTCCACGCCCAACTTCTCCGCCGCCTTGAGGAACGGCTTCCCGTGTTCGACGTCGCGGACATGGCGCGCATCGTCTTCTCGAAGGACGAGCGCGGCGTCGACGAGCGCGCGCGCCGAGAATCTCCTGGAGCCGCGCCGCATGCTCGTCCACGTCTCGGACGCCGAGCGCCTCGAGGATCGCCGTGGACCACGCGTTGGGCCGCGCGCCGATGACCGACGCTCCAGGTGAGGTCGTCGACGCCTAGCGCCTCGAGCGGGCCGCGCGGGAGCTCGTCGTCCAGGAGCGTGCCCTCGATCGAAGATTACCGCAGCGATTCCAACCTTGTCCGGTCTCGGCGCCGGCGCGGCTGCCTCTTGTCGTCGTCCCAAACTTGGACGCGCGTCCGTCGTCGTGCTGCGTCGCCGCAATGGAGCTCATTTCAGACGGCTGCGACATCGCAACTGCTGCCGCCAGGAAGTAAACAAATAAATAAATCGAACTAAATACACCCAGAATCTGCGTTCAAGAGACTCATAGTTTCCGTCCACGTGGCCTTTCGTATTAACATATCCCGCTGGCGCACCCATAGATTGTTGAGCTCGGCGGCCGATGTGGTCCGACAGCGTCTCTCGAGATGAGATTAAGCGGGAGTTAGTCGGTGATGAGGAAGCGGAAGAAGTCCAGAATCAGCTAGCCAGTGGAAACCAGGGTACTAATAGCCTACTAGTAGCTAGTTCCCTCTACAGATCGTGCATGCCTCGAGCACCTCGAGCAGAAGGTAAAAAGAAAATAACTATACGGATTTTGTGTGCTGCGCAATGCACCTCTTGATCTCGGGAATTCGAGCCGGCTGTTGTATAGCTCTCATTGGGCTCTTAAGCCAGCTAAGAGAGAAAGACAGGGAAATGAGGAAAAGGAAGGAGGGGCCCCATCCGATTTACAGCTCACAAAGTTCAAACAACAATGCATTCCGCTCTCGCATCTGCCAGAGATAGCGAAATGCCAGAGGAAAAGGAGAATGCCCCACAGTGACTCAGCGTGTTGTGAACGGAGCCATATCATCCAGAATGGGACCCAGCGGAGAACAGGCGCGTTCCGTGGTCACCAGGGGACTGGAGCGCCGTCGGTGCCGAAGAAGGTCCCGGAGTTTGTGAGGCTCAGGTCGTCGACGATGCGCGCGTAGAGGCCGCGCGCGCTGGCCTCGGCGGTGACGTCGCCCTTGTCGCCATTCATGGGCGTCGCGACGTAGCCGGGGACGAGGAGGGCGACGGCGACGCCGCGGGCCTTGAGGTCGACGGCCATGGACTTGCCCGCGGCGTTGAGCGCGGACTTGGACATGCGGTAGGCGTAGATCCCGCCCGTCGCGGTGTTGCTCGCGATGCTGCCGAGCTTGGACGAGATGTGAGCGGACCTTGCCCCCCGGCATTTTGAGGAGGTCACGGCTCAGGACCGCCTGGGTCACGCGGATTGGCCCGACGGCGTTGATTGCGAAGACCTGTTCCACGAGTTTGAGGTCTAGGCCGCCGAGCTGCATGGGCTCCGTCGCTCCCGGGAACGTCTCCATCGCCAGCTGCCACGTCGCGACCTACGAAACGCCGGTCGCCGCGCGGGCGCGCGCGGGGCGACGACCGCACAAGAGGCGGACGCCGCGCGCGCGCGCCCGCGGCGTTCACTAGGATGTCGAGGACGACGCCCTCGGCTTTGAGCGAGTCGAAGAAGGCGTCCACCTTGGCGTCGTCGAGGACGTCGAGGCCGAGGACGATGCGCGCGCGCGACTCGAGCCGCTCCTCAACGATGCGCTCGTGGACGTGCGCGGACCGCCCGCGGCAGGCGACGATCACGTCATGGCCCGCCGCGGCGAACTTGATCGCGAGCTCCGATCCGATGCCGCCGTTACCGCCCGTGATGAGCACCGTCAACGCCACGCACCGCTCGAGCCACGCGAGGACAAGGATCACGTTCATCTCTTCGCTCAGCTCGCAATCTTTATTCGCTAAGGGCAAGAGGGTGGCAGTGCAACTCGATTGGACGTGCCATCGTTTTTCAAATACATTGAACTAGCATCTCAAGATACTTTTGAACATCATTGTTGGACGAAGCGTTGGAAAGTTTATGTATCAGTCTCACTCTGATCTGGGTTATGCTCCCGCTTTCGCGCTGTGAGCCACCGCGCTACACCTGCTAGCTGTGCGCAGCTACACCGCTGCAGACCTGCGCGCAGAGCGCGCCGGCTGCAGCAGATCCACCGCTCGCGAGCGGCGGATAGCCCCTGGAACCAGAGCGCGCGCCGCCGCAGAGCCCGGCGCCGCGCCGCGCTCCGGTCCAGGCTCCACCAGCGCCCGCGCGGCTCGCGCGCGGCGCAGCGGCGAGGACACCGGCGCCTCGCCTTCCTACAATGCCGCCGCGGACCCGCGCGGGCGCCGCCGGCGGCGACGACGATCCGGAGCCGACGCTCTTGAGCATCGTCGAGCTGAACAAGCTCTTCAAGGAAGCTAGTAAACTATCCTAACTTTCTAAGCTAAATAAGACTGCTGGCTGTGGTGGTCCTCTGGGCGCGCGGGACCTGGGCTGCGGCCGGGCCCACTCTCGGCCGCTCAGATGCGTCCTGCGGATAGATCGATTGATGTTTGATGGATGCCAGTGTCTGAATGGGATACCAGAATGGGATACCACATTGTTGCTGAAAGCTTCTATTCTAGAGAGCGAGCCTGACGAGTAGAACAGTACGTTTCACCACCCCGAGTAATTCCTCGGTAGGGAACCACCGCTCAATCTTGGGCCGGTCGCGAAATTATACTGTGAATGAACGGCTTGAGCGGCCCAAGATTGAGCGGACCGTATAAAATAAACTGCGAGCCATCCAATCGTGAACGGTCGGCCCAAATTGTATCGGCGGCCCAAATTACAGCGGTGGTTCCCTATACGAGTCATAGCCAGCGCTCGTGGCAGCAACCTCTATATCACCTGCACATAAGGAGCGCGTGTCGAAAGGGCTGAGACAATAAATAATAAACAGCAGCTTATTCTCGCTCTCTCCTTCGGGTGCTACTTTCCTAGCTAATCAGAGATTACCTGTACCATGCGATGGATGCGCTGGTTCTTCTTGGTCTTAGGCTCGGCGCTGGTGACAGAGCTGGTTCCAAAGCTGAGCGAAGTCGCGCCATCGGTCCGCCTGGGCACGATGGAGGTTTCTGGTCGGACGCGCGGCGGCGCGACGGGGCGCCACGGATCCATGTTTCGAGTGCGCGTAGAACACGGTGTGGGCCGCGCACGCGGTCGCCGACTCGACGCCGGCGAGTCGCACGTCTCGGAGCGCGACCGCAAGCACGTAGCGGCGCTCGAAAAAACCTGGCTGCAGCTATGGAACGAGGAAACGAGGGCTGGTCGCGGCGCACTAAATGTTTCGTCGCTGTTCGTCCGTTTCGGTGAGGCGTATCGGGACCTGGGCCTGCGGGGCGTGACGCGCGTCGTGTATCGGCAGTACCCGGGGCAGCTAGATTGGGGCCTCGGGCCGCACCATCTCCTCGGCATCTGGGCGGTCCATCAGCTGAAAAACTGGGCCGTGAGTGATATCCTCGACGTCTTACCGCGATGATTCCTTTGGCTCCTCGATCCACGGAGCAGTGTGGACTTGGAGCCTGCGCCATCGCGCGCACGTGAGCGGGCGATCGTTCTGGCCGGTCCTTCTCCGGGATTTGGGGCTCGAGTCGAAAATGCGTTTTTCTCACCAACTCAAAGAGCTTTCTCTACAAGACGTGCCACGGAGCGGGACACGCGGCGTTCCTTCTCGCCGCGACCCGGACTCTCGGATGGCCAAAGTACAACCCAGAGATGTGGCTACCCCCGCGGCCCATCTTGCTGATCGATCCGGATGTGTTCCATCGGTTCGTCCTCGCGACTTGCGCGAGGGCCCCGACGGCGTCGCACGCGGACGCGTGCGCGTCGGGCGCCTACCATTCGTATTTCTCGTGGTCCGCGCCGCGGTTTGGCGGGGTTATTCCGTGGTACACGCCCTGCGCCGACGCGCCGTTTGGTTTCGCCAACGTGTGCTTCGTCATGCTCAGGCTCGTCTCGGACAATTTAAGGAACGTCCCCGCGACCGAGGACGCGAGGCGCTGCGACCACGGCGAGGACCAAGCGACCCAGCTTGCGTGTATCTACGGCCTCGCGCACCGGCCGACCAGAAACGCCTCGGAGCTGTGCGACCTCTCCCGTTTGAGCGGCGACCGCCTGCTCTCGTGCGTGAACGGATCCGTCGACGCGACTTTCGGAAGCATGTTCCCGCTAAACACGCGGGAGGCTTTTTGCGAACCGCTCGGTCAGTTGAAAGACGTCTGTGTGCGCCGAAGCCTCGTCTACTGCAATTCGTTCGGCGCCTGTCGCGCCTGACGACCCGAATCCTGGGCGCTGGCGTGGTGTTTGACTCTGGCGCAAGCACACACCAGCATTCGGGAAAGCATCTTTATACCCTTAAACAGTGATTAAACAGCCGGGGTTCCTAGGTATCGGCCTTGGATGTCGAGTCTCGACAAAAAGATCGACTGACTTCGGGCGACGAGCCGTGCCGCGCCGGCGCCCAGGGCTCGTTGCCCGCCCTTTTCGAGTCGGGCAACCCGCGCGCGCACGGCCTCGGCTCTCGGGGGGCGTGCGAGGCCCGGCCTCGCGATTCATCGTGAAGGCGTCGCCGACGAGGAACCGCCTTCGTCGCGCCGCCGAGCCCCGCGCGCCCCCGACGCTCTCCCGAGCCGCGCCCCGCTCCTCGCGCTCCGCGACCGAGACCATTACCCTCATGCCCCCCTCACAGGCATTCGCGCCATACCAGTTACGCAGCTCACGCGAAGATGAACCCGTACTTGCTCCTCGCGCTCGGCGTCGTCGCGACTTCGGGACCGTCCGCGGAGCTCTCCACGGCGTGGACCCCTGTGGGGCGCCGGCGACGGGACGCCCGCGTGGCCCAAAGGACCCCGGGGATTTCAGATTGGAGCAAGAAATTGCGGGAGAACTACGACGTCGTGTCGGCGAGCGACCACGAGTGGTGCACGCTCACGCGCTACAACTGGGCGTGCGTCGGCGACGCGTACGCGGCGGTGCTCAATCGCACGCGCCCCTACCGGCCCTGGCGCTTCCAGCTCGCCAACCTCCCGCTGGGCACGCGCGTCTTCGCGGACGGGAACTCGTACCTCGCGGAGCGGATGACGACGCTGCTCTGCGGCTGTCATTCCACCGACGTCTTCAAGTTCGACGTCACGGTAGTGTAAGCGAAATTGAGCCCCAGGAACTTCACATCGAGGTCGTTGTAGAGCCACTTCATCCGCAGCGCCGGGTGGAGGAGCGGCGCCATCGCCGCCGTCGCGTTGGCCCAGGCTCGGGCTGAAACTTCCTCGCGGAAGGCGTCGGGCGTCGCGGACCGCACTTTCGCTCGCGGGGTGCCGGGTCGGTTCGGGCCCGGGAGCCGGTGGTGCTGCTCGTCCTTCTTCATGGACGCGGCCGACGTCCGGTGGATGACGCCGAGCATGACGTCGGGCTCGAGGCTGACCCCCAGGAACGACGCGAGCCGGTAGTACTCGTCGACGGGGTTCGCGGCGAGATCCTCGTAGAACAAAATCAGGCTCGGGTGCGTCCGCCGGACCAACTCGTCGTGCCAGTAGTAGCGGAGCGACACGAGCGCGGCGCACTTCGGCACCGTTTCGATTATGTAGTCCTCGGAGGCTTTCCCTTGCGACGTCAGGTTGACACGTTCGTTGTAATGAGCCCAGCTGACGACAACGGCGCGCGGGTCCCGCAGGATGAGCACGTAGCGCGCGTTGACCGGGAGCGGCCCGAGGAACGCGGGCGGCACGCAGGCCTCGGACCCAATGGTGATGCCGTCATCGACGCAACGTTTCAAGAACGCATCGAAAGACCGTTCTATAGCGACATGAACCGCAATCGCCTTGCTCATGGCGCCCGGCAGCCTATGCTTCTCGTTAGAAACAAGTATT